TGCTCCGCTAAAAATTGTGATAGTTCAGAATTAAGATATTCTCTACCATTATCGAATCTAAGGACTTTGATAGAAATAGAAAACTGATTTCCCATCATATATGATAAAATTGTTGGAAATTTTGTCCAACGTCACTCTTTTGTCTCATGGTATAAAGCCAAGTCATTCTGGTGCAATCATTTACAAAAAATACAAAACCACCGATTACCGTGGTGCGTCGCTATTGGTGAAGGACTCCATACATTGGAGTGAATTAACTCAAAAGACACTGATCTTTTATTAAAATTCAAATGGTAAGAAGTATAATGACTTTTTGCAAGAATGCAATATTTGCATTGAAAATCAGAGTCTGAAACGCTATTAAATAAAGGCAGAAGTAATTTTCTTAAATAACCGAAGGATGCATGTCCTAATCGACGATGCCATAACCAAATTTGATTGATCTTGTTATTATGACCAGTGAGGTTGAGTCGGCCCAGTACCACATCATCCACATAATATAACCGTCTCCTCTTAGTACCACGCCAATTGATCATCCATGTCTGGATATCCTGTAGTAGGCAAAAAGTGGGAAATATGAGTACAACACAATCTAATTGTTCCGTAACTTGACCAATATAAAGTAAATGATTCGACAATGAAGAAACAAGAAGAGCGTTATGCAGAGCTATAAAGGGAGTAAGTGTGATGGAACCCGCTCCTATAACTAGAGCAATTTCACCGTGTGTTGTGATAACATTCTCCTTGGGTGGCACGGTTAAGTGGTGAAACAGAGATTCATTATATGTCATATGATCCGTAGCTCCGGAGTCAATTATCCCACCGGAATCTCATTTAGTGGATGTTTTGCATGCAATGCCAATTTTACTTGAATCGTCGTCATAACCATAATTTATTGAAATCTATTTGATTAAAGATTGCATTGGACCCGTATCTTCTCTCGGTGCAGCAGCCTCTTTTCCCTCTGGACCGTGCATTGGGACAACTGTCATGGGCCTTGTTTGGCCTGCTGCAACAGAAGCCATTGCACGCAAGTCTTCAACAACAGCAGCCATTGAAATCGTGTTTGTAGACCTACTTTGTATAGACTTGGTTTGTATGGGAATTATCTCACCGCTTTTCTTTTCTTCAGCCATTGCATGGACTGATTTGTGTTGGTTGATTTTGTTTGTAGCTTTGTTGTTTCCAAAGCCACAAGGGTTAGGTTTGTGGATTCGAGATTTTTTCAAACACCAGGGTTTGTTCTTAATGTAACCTTGGTTGTGGATTGCACGGTGTTGAGTGATTTTAGGGTTGGTATTGGGAAGAGACCGTCGGAATCTGTTCTGATGCCAAGATAAAGATAAAAGTGTATAGGGTTTGAATTGTGTATATTATTCTTCTCTCTAGGATGTAAATATATAGTTGTACAATATCCCACATAATAAAAAAATAAGTATCCCAATTATACAAGGAATCAATTAGAGGATTACATTCCTAAATTATATAGTTGACTCATGCCAATAGTTCATACTTAGTACATTTCACTGAAGAACACATTTCTTACAAAAAGGGAGTTACTAGCAAAAATAAGATCACATTCTTGCTTATAAGATCACATGGTTTGATAAACCACCATGGGGTGCCTTAGTGGTTTGGGGACGAATTCTAACTAGTATTTCACTCGGCACATCCTGAGTTTGATTTCTGACGTGAATCACACGATGATGGCAAGTTGAAATGCTCTTCTTGACTAGCAGAATGGTGGACTGGGTCCCTTTTAAAAGAAAAATATCACATGGTTTGATAACATTTGTGGGGGCAAGGCATGGAGTCTTCTAGTTGTTGGGCTTCGGCCCTCCGTAGTTCACGCACCAAAAGAAGAAACCTAGGGTTTTCCTTTGTCTCTCTATATAAGACATCTTAAAGCCAACAAAATATATCTGCTCAAAGAAAACGCAACAAAATATAAGGCTAGTTGTTTGGAAAAAAAAACTGCTATGGAAGTCGGCGCTGACTTTCCACCAGAAAAACGAAAAAAAGTGGATGATGACTCCCAAATGAGCGTGAGAAGATGGGAAGACCTGCCACCGGACATATGGTTCAAGATTTTATCCAGCAGCAGCTCCGAATTAACGAAAGCACTTGTTCTTGTTCGTTGTGCTGCCATTTCTACTGCGCTGCGTTCGCTTATATGTAATCATTCTGTGCTTTGGGCTACGCTTGATTTTTCAGTCATGGAAGTAGAGCCAGTTTACGATTCTCCATCAGTTCTGAGTGGTGTTTCGAAGGCTTTTATTGAGTCTCGATCAAGGAAACGTCACGACCTTAGTTTCAAGTCCCTACTTGGGTGACGATGCCTTCATCACCTATGCTGCTAAAAGGTACGTAATTTGGCCATATCTTTTTAATTATTTGTAATTTTATCGTCAGTAGATGTGGATTTTAGGGTTTTAAGAGCAATACACAACAACAACAACAAAGCCTTTTCCCACTAAGTGGGGTCGGCTATATGAATCCTAGAACGCCATTGCGCTCGGTTTTGTGTCATGTCCTCCGTTAGATCCAAGTACTCTAAGCCTTTTCTTAGAGTCTCTTCCAAAGTTTTCCTAGGTCTTCCTCTACCCCTTCGGCCCTGAACCTTTGTCCCGTAGTCACATCTTCGAACTGGAGCGTCAGTCGGCCTTCTTTGCACATGTCCAAAATCACCGGAACCGATTTTCTCTCATCTTTCCTTCAATTTCGGCTACTCCTACTTTACCTCGGATATCCTCATTCTCAATCTTATCCTTTCTCGTGTGCCCACACATCCCAGGAAGCATCCTCATCTCCGCTACACCCATTTTTGTGTACGTGTTGATGTTTCACCGCCCAACATTCTGTGTGCCATACAACATCGCTAGCCTTATTGCCGTCCTATAAAATTTTCCCTTGAGCTTCAGTGGCCTACGACGGTCACACAACACGCTGGATGCACTCTTACACTTCATCCATCCAGCTCGTATTCTATGGATGAGATCTCCATCTAATTCTCCGTTCTCTTGCAAGATAGATCCTAGGTAGCGAAAACGGTCGCTTTTTGTGATCTTCGCTAGATTGCTCCGGTCATTAGTGTGGATAAGTATATAAATGGATAGAGATAGGAAAGCAAACACAAGATGTACGTGGTTCACCCAGATTGGCTACGTCCACGGAATAGAAGAGTTCTCATTAATTGTGAAGGGTTTACACAAGTACATAGGTTCAAGCTCTCCTTTAGTGAGTACCAGTGAATGATTTAGTACAAATGACATTAGAGTACAAATGACATTAGGAAATATTGTGGGAGAATGATCTCGTAATCACGAAACTTCTAAGTATCGGAGTGTAGTATCGTCTTGACTTGCCTTATCTGTCTCATAGGTAGATGT